GAGAAGGGAACTGGGGGATTGGAGATTTAGGGTTATTAATAAGAAACGCGTTTCATTGTTGAAGTAAAAAAATTAGATTTGGCATTAGACATAAAAATGATACATGGTCAGGGCCAGCAGGGAGCATGGTGGTTAAGACACTGGACTCCCATATGTCTGACTGTGGTTCAAATCCCAGACTGGTGGCTTGAAAAATCAAACAGGTAAGTGTGTGTATGCCCAAAATCTCAGGAGAATGGAGGAGAAGGGATTGCAGCATGGCTATACCCCTGGAGGGTAATTTCTCAATTTCCCTCTCACTGTCTCTGTCTCTCTGTAGCAAGCACTATGCTCTCTGTGACAAAAACCTTTAAAAAAAAAAGGAAGAAGTAAAATTATCATTTGTATACTCCTAGAAAAGTAAAAAAATCAGGCAAAGACTATCACATGTAGAGGTCTTTAAGGAGGCTGAATACAAAATTAGTTTCATTTAACTAAAAGAAACTAGTTAAATACCAGAAAAAAAACCTATCTCATTTACAATAATAACAAAAAAGATAAAAATGCCAATTCTTCTGATTATTCTATAAAGTAAAAAAATATATATCACCAGCACTTTTTCTTTTTTATTTTAATGGTGATAGGAGGGAAACTATACAAGCTAATTCTTTTTATTTTTCTTAAGAATTATTTATTTAATTTTATAATTATTTAAAAATTTGCTGCCGGGTACATGCACTCACCAAAGAGAGACAGACAGAGAGGGAGGGGGAGGGAAAGTAAGAAAGCAAGTGGCCAGGTCTGGGACTCAACCTGTGGTCTGCCATGTGGGAGTCTGACACCTTAACCACCATGCCACCTGCTGGCTCCTATACAAACTAATTCTAAAGATCTCAAAAATTTAAAAATAAGAAGAGCAAGGAAAATTCTAGGGGAAGAGATAGTAGGGTTAGTCCAATAAACTATTAAAGTATATTATAAAACTAGATTAGGCTAGCTCCGTGGTACAACAGTTAAGGGAGTGGGACAGGAACAACTGTATGGTTCAAATCCTGGCCTTGGTTGCTTGAAAAACACACTGAACGCATCTGTGTGTATGTCTAAAATCCCAACAGGTTAGAAAAATAGAAGAGAAGGGATTTTGGTGTGACCACACCTCACTAGGGGGTGCAATCTCTCTCTCTCTCTCGAGTGTACATACCCTCTGGTATAAAGAAGAAAGTCAATGAAAAAAAGAAAAAGCAAAGAAACAAAACAAAACAAATACTAGATTTCAAACTATAAATGAAAAGATGGTGTTAAGACAATGGCTATCAATTTGGAAAAAATTAGTTATATCCATATTTCATATGTATTGCTATGATAAATTTCAGAGGAACTAAAGATATAAATATAAAAACAGAAAACCACAAAAATGTTAAATCATGAGTGAATTTACAAAATCAATTCGAAACAAGGAATGTTTTTAACCATGACATAAAAATACAGAAGACACATAAAGTAAAAAAATATATATAAACTATTGTTGTGAGGAAACAACTTACCACAAAGTCAATAGTTACATGACAAAACAGGAAAAAATTTGCACTGTATTACAGAAAAACTATTTCACAAACACATAAAAGAGCTTCTACAAAGCAATAGGAAAATAAATAACCAAACAAAAAATAGTATAAAAATGGGCAATTCTCAGGATAGAAATTACAAGTGGGGACCGGCAGATGGCATAATGGTAACGTTGTTGTACTCAAATAGTTGACCTGTTCAAGTCTTGGACCCAGTGGCTTAAAACTCAAGCTGGGCGTGTGTGTGTGTGCGCACGCGTGCATGTGCGTATGAATGCCCAAAATTCCGAGAGGAGAATGGAGGAGAAGGAATTGTGCTATGATTATCTCTTGGGCGTGATTTCTCACTTTCTATCTCTCTGTCTCTGTCTTTCCAGCTAGCACACATACCCTATGGCAAAAATCTCTCTAAAAAAAAAAGAAAAGGAATTACAAATGGTGAGACCAGCAGATAGTATAATGGTTATGTCATTAGATTCCCACATGGCCAACCACAGTTCAAAAGTTTGAAACTCATGCTGAGCACATGTGTGTGCGTATCCAAAATCCCAAGAGGAAAATGGAGAAGGGATTGCTGTGTGGCCATTGGCCCTGGGGTGTGTGGGGGTAATTTCTTGCTTTCTGACTCTGTTACTCCAGTGAAAGCATGTGTCCTATAGCAAAAATCTCTCTCTAAAAAAATAAAAAGACAGAAATTACGAATGGCTCTTACACATGGGCAAAGGCTGGAAACACCTGAAAGGTTCAGTAAGAGGCCTGGTGTGGGCCAGCTGCGGGGGCACAGTGGAGATGAAACACTCGGCAGTAATAAAGCCACAGGGGAAGGTCCCAAGTTTGCAAATGTGGCATCAACTAGGGAATGTGGATAAGGATATTTTGAACAACTCTTGCAACTTTTCTCTCTAAGTGTGAAATAATTTCAAAATAAAACATCTTTAAAAAAGGATATGGTGGGCCAGGAGGAGGCATGGTGGTTAAGGTGCTGGACTTCCACATGGCCAGCCAGGGTTCAAGTACTGGACCTGGTGGTGTGCTTTCTCACTTTCTCTCTGTCTCTGCTTTCTCTCTCTTTTTCTGGTAAGTGCACATGCCCTGTAGCAAATTAAAATAATAATTATAACAGTAATAAATACAAATAAAAAAGTAATTCTTTACAAAAAAGAAATGATTTTTTTTGGGTAGAGGTTTTTGCCTTAGGACTTGTGTGCTCACTGGAGAGAGAGAGACAGAGACAGTGAGAATGAAAGTGATAAATCACCCATCCCCCTCACACCAGGGAAGATGGTCATGCTGCAACCTCTTCTTCTCCACTCTCCTCCCAGGACCTTGGGCGGGTGGACACACACAAACACAAACATATACACCCGTGCATATGCATGCCCAGCTTGAGTTTCAAGCCTTTTGGTCTAGTGGCCATGTGGGAGTACAACAATGTAACTGCTATGCCATCTGCTGGCCCAAAATGACTTTATTAATTATCTGCCCAGTGGTTTGGAGACAGTTTTCAAAATAATGGTTAACAAAACAATAATTGTTTAATAATAGACTAAAATTCCATATCTTGGAGTGTACTGAAGAAGGGCTGAATGAGATGCACTTTTCTTTTATTTTTTAAAGTTTTTTGTTGTTGTTTTGTAGGACCTGTATACTCATCAGAAAAAGAGAGAAAGAATAAGTGAGAAATCACCCCCCCCAGAGGGGTGGTCACACTACAATCCCTTCTTCTTCATTCTCCTTTCAGAAATTTGGGCATGCACATAGGTGCCCAGTATGACTGTCAGGCCACAGGGTCCTGGACTTGAACTGTATAGTCGGCCATGTGGGTTCCACGCCACCTGCTGGCCCTTATATGCATTTTTTAACCCCAAAGGTTTTCTGAGTGCATCTATTTATAGAAACACTAGACTTCACCTCAAAAAGATCAACTTGCATATCTTAAGATTCCTTAGCAGATTTATTCTTTGGAGAAAAAAATTATTCACTACTTATATTTGAAATGTAAAGGAAACCTATAGGCAATATATAAGTAATTAGCATGTTCATGTTGCCTTTGAAAAAAGTGAATACTTCTATTATGTCAGGATTTACTCAGCCTGTTTAAAACATTACACAAAACAAGAACAGGCTAATAAAGCACTGTTTTTGGCAGCAATACTAATTCTATGCCATGAGTCAGATTAACCTCGTAACAAAAATCGAAGAGATAAACATTGTATTGGTTTGTAAAATAATTAAAAAAAAATAACATGCCAAACATTCAAAATGAAACTAGTGATGTAAAAAAAAATAAAAACTATGGGGGCTGGCAGGTGGCATGGTTCGAGTTCTGGATCTGGTGGCTTGCATTCTCACTTTCTCTCTCTCACTCTCTCTCTGTCCCTCTCTGGTCAAGTGAAAATAAATAAAGTTAAATAAAAATAATTCTTTTTTTTTTTGGAGAGGTTTTTGCCATAGGGTGCATGTGCTCGCTAGACAGACAGAGACAGACAGACAGACAGAAAGCGAGAAATGACCCCCGGAGGGATGGCCACGCTGCAATCCCTTCTCCTCCATTCTCCTCTCGGGATCTTGGGCATGCACGCACACGCACCCAGCGTGAGTTTTAAGCCACTGGGTCTGGAACACGAACCACGGTCGACTACATAGGAGTCCAGTGACATAGCCATTACGCTAACTGCTGGTCCCAATAAAAATAATTCTTTAAAAAAAAGGAAAAAAATATGAGTTAAATAAAAGTAGTTTGGTGGAAATTTTCAACACTTCCTTTTTACCTAGCAGCATAAAACAGTCTGATTCATGACCATTAAATAATGGCGTTTAATACACTTAGATCCCTATTTAAATCAACATGTAGGGACTAATTCTATCACTTGTACATCCTTTCTAAATGTCTGGAGTATTTTATCTTAAAGGAAAACTCAGGGTCTGGCCTCTGACTATCAAATTCATTCTTTTATTATAGTAGAGGTTATAAATGTTTTTCTAATAACAGAAAAATATTATCAAATTTTAGCCCTTCATTTTAGTTTTTAAAAAAGGAAGTATGATTCATTAAATTTTCAAATCATATTCATTTTTTTTGGCCTTTTTTTGGGTATAGGGTATGTATGCTCACAAGAGAGAGAGAGAGAGGGAGAGATAGAGAGAGAGAGATCACCCCGTGGGGGATGGATATGCTGCAATCCCTTTTCTTTCATTCTCCTCTTGGGGTTTTGGTGACATATGCACACGTGCCCAGACAAATCATAATCATTTTTAATTTACAAAATAAGAGCCTACACTTTGTATTCAGTGCCAATTGGTAAATATAAATTCAATGTTTTCTAAATATGAAAACAAGAAAGTTTTGTAAAGTTACTTTCATCATGCAGACAAGAAATCCACCTAAATAAAATTCTATCAGAATGGAATCAGCATGCTTGAGAAGCATATGCTAAAGAAGTTCTTCACAGATACCTTTTTTATCTGTATTTCTTCGTAGCAGTTTGTCCACCTGAGAAATGGCCTCTTCCCAGCAATTGTTGCTTGCTTGAACATGGGGCTGAATCAACTTCAGTTTCTGTTCTAGGATTTGATAAGACTCTGACACTAGTTCTTGTGTTTCTTTAGTACAAACAAGCTTTTCAAGTTCGTCTTCAAGAATGATTACCCTAAGTGATAAAGAAAAACAGAAACAGATTTCTAAGATAATAGAATCTATAATTTACAAGGCTTATTTAAAAAAAATTAACTTTAGGGCCAGCCCTATGTTCTGGTGGTTAAGAAAGTCAGATCCCACCTGGCTGACTGCATGGTTTGAATCCCAGTTCTGGCAGCTTGAAAAACTGCGTGTATGACCACACTCCACTGGGGGGTGCTATGTCTATCCCTTCCCTGTAAGCACGCAAACCCTCTAGAAAAATACCTACATGATGAAAAAAAATTGTGGAGGTAAATGATGGTGATAGTTGTAAAACAATGTTAAGTACTTAATATCATTGATCTGTACACTTGAAAATGCTTAACCATTTTGTTATGTGTATACCACAATTTTTAAAAAAAGCTTATAGAGAACATCATATATTTATTTGACAAATATTTCTGGCATATATATTAGACATTTTATGAGCTGAAATGAGAACTTGAACTCATTTCCTATTTATAAAAAATGGTAACTAAATTGGAAATTTCACATGTATGTAAAAAAAAACCACAGTATCATAAAAAGCTAAAACTAACATTTTATTTCCATTTTACAGATAAGAAATTAGGTCTAGAGAGCTGAATAACCTTTCCCAGAGTCACAAAGGTGGTAAGCTATAAAGCTGGGCTGAACCCAAGCACAAAAGAGTAACACCACGAAGAGGTACAGAGCATCATGAGATTCAGAAGAGGGGGATTTTACTGCAAGCTCTGGGTACGGAGAGGGGAAGCTAAGGAAGAGGGACTCTGATGGTAGCATTGAAGGACAATAAAATTTGAGCTTGTACAAAAGATGAGGAAAGTCATTCTAGGTAGAACAAGGAAAAAGGCATTTCCACAGTTTGCCTCAACTGAAGAAAAGGAGTGAGAAATACAGATAGCGATGCAGCCCATAGCCAGGCTGTGGCAACCCTTTCTAGAGAGTGTTCTGTACAGACCTCAGCCTGAGCTCCTGTAGTCTGTAACCTCTGAAAATGTTTAGTTAAGTGAGAAGGTAATATTAAGTCGTGAGAAAAAAGCCATGAAGTATTTTCTATACAAAAATGCATCATAAGTTTTGAGATGACTCAATATATTCTTTGGTAACATTAACCTGGCTGTGCACACTCTGGAGGCAGCAAGAACGGTATGAGGTCAATGGTTAGGGCCAGCAGATGGCATAATGGTTATGTGGCTGGACTCCCAGATAGCCAACCCAGACTTGGAGACTTGAAAATTTCTCTAAAAAAAAAAAAAAATTCATGGCATGCTATATTCTTAGATAGGTAGTAGTATACATCAAATATTCCATTTTTTAAAAAAAGAATTATTATTTATTTATTTATTAATTATTATTATTCACATGAGTTATGCCAGAGAGAAAGTAAGAGAGGGAGAATTAGAAAGCAAGCCGCCAGGTCCAGGACTCGAACAGTAGTCAGCCATGTGGGAATTCCAGCACCTTAACCACCTTGCCACCTGCTGGTCCCATCATCAAATATTCCATTTTAGACTCAGCTGTGGTACTGTGTGCCAAGGCCATTTTGGAGGCCTGGGTTCAATTCCCAGTCCACGCGAAAAAGCTAGGTGTAGTACACGCCTGTAGTCCCAGCTACTGGGGAGACTAAGGTAGGAGGATGGCAACATAGTTAATACTCCGCTGAAACAAGACATGGACACTCACAGAATACTCTATTTATTTATTTTTTAGTTTGTTATCAGGTGTGTGTACTTGCTAGTGAAAGAGAGAGAGAGAGAGAGAGAGAGGGAGAGGGAGATAGAGAGAGAAGGCACCCTCCAGGGGTACAGCCATGTCATAATCCTTTCTCCTCCACTCTCCTCTCAGGACTTTGGGCATGCACACACATGTGCCTGGCATGCTTTTCAAGCTGTGGGCCTGGGACTTGATCTGTGCAATTGGCCATATGGGATCCAAACACCTTAAACTCTATGTCACTTGCTGGCCAAGAATATTCCATTTTAAAACAGGACACATATGTCCCATGCATAATCCACAATCAGCACCCAAGGTTCAAAGCTCCTCTTTTTCATGATGAGGTCCACCCAGTGTAACATTCTTCCCTGAGCCATTTTTCCTCACTCTAATGTGTTATAATATGTCCTGTATCTATCTACCGTTCTTTCTTTCTGAATTATTTATTTAGTTTTATTAATTATTATTGTTGTTTTCAAATTTAAAGGAGAGAAAAAAAAGAGAAAGCAAGCCAGGTCTGGGACTCAAACCACAGTCACCCATGTGGGAGTCCAGCGCCATGACCACCACACCACCTCCTAATCCCATCCCTGTAAATTTCTAATTCTATTACCAAAAATTCCTTGGTGATGCTGTCTTCGCCTAATACAATCTTTCACTAAATTCTTATTTTCCCCAGAAATGACTCAATTTTGCCCACTCACGTCATGAATGGCTTTATCTCCCAAATTCTCTGTGAGAAACATGGCTAGAAGTCAGGTCATCATTCACCTGAATTCTAAAACGGCAGATGTAGACCACTGGAACACACCAGCATCCTAGGTTTTTTCTTTTCTTTTTTGGAGAAGTTTTTTTCCTTTTTTTTTTCGGATTTTTTGGAGAAGTTTTTTGCTATAGGGCGCGTGTGCTCGCCAGAAAGACAGAGAGAGACAGAGAGATAGAAAGAGAGAAATCACCCCCCAGGGGGGATGGACACGCTGCAATCCCTTCTCCTCCATTCTCCTCCTGGGATCTTGGGCACGCACGCACCTGTGCCCAGCGTGAGTTTAAGCCACCGGGTCCAGGACTCGAACTATGGTTGACTACAGAGGAGTCCAGTGTCATAGCCATTACACTAACTGCTGGTCCCAATTTTTTTTTTTTTTGGAGAGGTTTTTGCTATAGGGTACGTGCGCTTGTCAGAAAGACAGAGAGAGACAGAGCAAGAGAAAGAGAGAAATCACCCCCCGGCGGATGGCCATGCCACAATCCCTTCTCCTCCATTCTCCTCTGGGGATCTAGGGCACGCACGCACATGCGATTGGCATGAATTTAAGCCACCGGGTCCGGGACTTGAACCACTGGTCGACTACATGGGAGTTCAGCAACATAGCCATTACGCTAACTGCTGGTCCCATCCTAGTTTTTTTCACTGTCACTAAACCCCACCCTTTACACTACCCTTATAACTACCTATCCCAGTCCTTGAACTAATGGTTAAAAACTTTTATCTTCTTGAAATGTCTTTGCAATCTGAAGTTCCTATTCTTGTATATCATATCCTCCCTCATTCCTAGTTAAACTAGCTTTCTGATTTTGCTGATATGCCAAATCCCTTCCATCCATTTTCTTATCCTATAAAATTAATTGCTGCCCTCTCAATTACGACCTATCAACTCATTAAATCCTGGTGGCCTTCCTGATTATCAACACGACATGAATTCAGTCATTCTTTTGATTCAGTCCTACACAATCACTGTTAGAGAAAAATTTCATTGGAAATGATTATATTCAAATATTACATGCATGGATTCAATTTTTAAACTTAAAAAGTTCCAAGAAGAAAATAGTATTTTTCTTTCCTTTTAAAAATATAATTATTAATTAGTTATTATTTCTAAAATTTAGTATAGGGCATGTGTGTTCACCAGAAAACTAAATAGAAAGAGTGAGAGAAAGTGAGAAAGCAAGCTGTCAGGTCTGGGACTCAAACTGTGGTTGGCTATGTGGGAATCCAGTGCCCCAAAATACCATGCCGCCTGCTGGCCCCGAAAACAGTATTTTTCAATTGATAAAAGACATAAGAAAACGGGATGAGCAGTTAGCGTAATGGATATGTCGCTGGACTCCCACGTAGTCGACTGTGGTTCGCGTCCTGGACCCGGAGGCTTAAAACTCATGCCGGGCGTGTGGGCGTGTGTGCGTGCCCAAGATCCCGACAGGAGAATGGAAGAGAAGGGATTGCGGTGTGGCCATCCCCCCTGGGATGGTGATTTCTCACTTTCTGTCTGTCTCTCTCGTCTGTCTGGCAAGCGCACACGCCCTATAGCAAAAAGCTCCCCCTCCTCCCCAAAAAAGACATAAGAAAATGTGACATAAAAATTAGGAAATGAAGGAATAGTACAAAGAATACCACGCAATATACAAGAGCAACAAATATAAATCATAAACCCTATATTTTACTATTCAGCTAGGACCAAAAACATGTCCTATTCCATAGAAGTTCTAAATCTGCTGCAATTTATTTAGAAAAGTAGCAATATACTACTTTTCATCTGTACATAACAATTACTCTTACATTGTTCTAGTGCTGGTAGATATTAGAATACTTTCAGACGGCAGGTTCCATCATTAAGAGCCCGACCTCAGAAAAGTCCCTATAGCCTTCTGGATAAGGGAGCCAGATCCCACATGCTAACTGAAGTTTGGATCCCAATCCCACAGGCTTGAAAAACACTGGACATCTCGACAGGATGAAGAAATGGAGGAAAGGGCATAGCATGATCGTGTCCCACTGGGAGTGCTTTCTCCCTCTCTGGTAAGCACACGCAGACCCTCTGGCAATTAAAAAAAGAAAAAAGAGAAGCTCATTCTTTATAACCTTCTTCATTTCAGCTCTCAAAGAGAACAAACAGTATCTGCATTTGTTCAATCTTTTAGGTTCTCTGTTAAAATCAGGAAAAGCAATATAAATGACTCCCCCAATTGTAGTACTTACAAATCATTGTTTCTCTGTTATATTCGTAGCTATAAACCATCCTTCAGGCTGCATGCATGTCTCATGTTTGTTTCTTCTTTCTACCTAGGACATAAGCCAACAACCACAATGGCACAAGAATGAAGCTTGCTAATCACGGGGACATTTCCTTATACGGCTTCTAAACTTACTCATTCAGTAATGCTTTCAGATGGAGCTGTAAGCTGCGCACTGCTGTGTGAACGTTATTCAGTTCTCTGGACTTCTGCTGAGTTTTACGCTGGGGTACTGACTGGTGCTGAGTTTCAAAGTACCGATAGAACTCATAGCTGCGCTTAAGCTCTTCCAGACAGGCAGAATGAGCATGAGGTAGACCTTGAGTCACATCAGATAAAATGCGATGAGGCAAAAGGGCTGGAGTAAGTAAGCGCCCAGGAGGTGAATTGGCTGCAGACAGTAAGAGGGCTAACCGTCTGAAGAACTCTGAGCTCTGTGCCACCCAGAGTTGGAACAAAACCTACAAAGAAGAGAGAAAAGGACATCATCAGGGAAAAATATTGGCCAGTGTTCAAAAAAAGCTACACATTTGCTTATCTTAGCTTCTCATATAAATTCTGCATTTTATTCTAAAAAAAAAGAATAGCTGAGATTGAACTAACTCCTTTGTTTTTTTAGAGATTTTTGCTATAGGATGCATGCGCTTGTTCACGCAGCAGTGTGCAGCTTACAACTCCATCTGAAAGCATTACTGAATGAGTAAGTTTAGAAGCCATATAAGGACATGTTCCCATGATCAGAGGGACAGAGAGACAGCAAGTAAGAAATCACTCCCCAGGGGGGATGGCAACGTTGCAATCCCTTCTCCATTCTCCTCTCAGGATCTTGGGCACGCATATGCATGTGCCTGATGTGAATTTTAAGCTGCTGGGTCTGGGACTGGAACTGCGGTCCACCAAGTGGGAATCCAATGACATTATCATTACTCTATCTGCTGATCCTGAACTAACTCTTAAGACTAGCCAAGAATGGGAACCAGCAGTTAGCGTAATGGCTATGTCGCTGGGCTCCCACGTAGTCGACTGTGGTTCACATCCCGGACCCAATGCTTAAAACTCACACCAGGCGCGTGTGCGTGTGTGCTCAAGATCCTGAGAGGAGTGCGAAAGGGTTTGGCGCGTTCCCCCCCCCCCCTGGGGGGGTGATTTCTCGCTTTCTGTCTCTCTGTCTCTGTCTGTCTGTCTGGTGAGCGCACATGCCCTATAGCGAAAAAACCTCTCAAAAAAAAAAAAAAAAGACTAGCCGAGAATGTTATATCGAATTACATACTCATAGTAGGTGAGAACCTCTGATCCCAGTATAAGAGAGAATGTCAGTATATTTATTTAATACAATTTTACCCCACATGGAAAATATTGATGGCACTGAATACATTTATTAGAAGAGAATCTTTTAAAAAACAATGATTCAATTTTATTTATTATCATTATTAGTTTTTAATTTGCTACAGGGCATGTGCACTCACCAGAGAGAGAAAGAGAGGGAGAGGGTGAGAAAGCAAGCCACTAGGTCTGGGACTCGGACCACTGTTGGCCATGTGGGAGTCCAGCACCTTAACCATTACACTACTTGCTGACTCCCAGAAGTGAATCTTGCTTTATAAATGATTTAAAAATATCGTACAGATAAGAAAATAAGACTTATTTATAATGGATATATATTATTCCAAAGAAATGAGTCACTGAAGGATTCAGAATTTGAGGTTTAAAATGAGACTATTATTCTGATCTAGGAATTGGCTAAAAAATTAACATAGAAATCAGTCCAAGAGTGATCATGCTTTCAGGAATGTCTGGCATGAGAAACTGCAAACCTATTCTTGAGAGACACACCCTGAATCCAGATACAGTCGCGTTCACAGTGAAGACAACTGCCCCAAAGCACACACATGAGAAAACAACCTAGGATATATGCTAGCAGACAACAAAGAGAGGATGACATGAAGCCATGTCATACAATTTACATTCCAATGATTCAAACCACAGAGGTATGATTTAGATAGTTTTACTAAATAAATGTTAAATTCTGCAAACAATTAAGATAATTTCATGTCAGTCTACTTTCTCATTAATTTATTTCAAGTGAGCAAGGACAAATTTCCAAGTTACTTAAGATACAATATCTAGGAATTCTGGAATATGAACAGTTTACTGGCAAGTCATCTTATTTAACCATTAAATGTGACTGCAATGATTTTTTTCTTTTATTCCTTTAGTTGTTCATTCAGAAAATATTTCTTTAGGATCTGCAATATGTCAGGCACTATTCAAAATGCTGATTATATAGCAGTGAACAAAAATTGTTTGAAGTCCCTACCCTGAAGGAGTTTATATTCATATGGGGGAGTAGATAGTAATCTGCAAGTAAGAGTGTTCCTTGCTTGATGGGCCAAGGAGAATAAATATACCAGAGAAGGAAAGGAAGTGTGCATGTGTGTGACCTCTGGGAGAACAGAAAGAGAGGGAGGAGAGGGAGGGCGTGGCAGGAAGTTTTCTAAAAAAGTGTCCCCTGAAGGAAGTAAATCACCTGAAGGGGATTATTGGGAGAGAAGGTGGCAGAGGGTTCAGGTGCAAAGACCTCTGGTTGGAGCACACACCTGAGGAACAGAAGGTCAGTGAGGCTGGAGCTAGGTAAGCAAGGGCAAGTGAGCAGAAGAGTGACCTTATCTCACTTAAACTTCAATAGGCTCGTTATGGCTGCTCTATCCAAGAGATTATAGGGATGTGGGAGCAGAAGCAGAGAAACCAGTTAGGAAGTGACTGTAATCATCAAGGTGAATGTTGATGGTAGCCTAGATCCACAGTCCAGTTATGAGGTGAGAAGTAGCTGAACTCTGGTTACATTGTAAAAGTATAACCACAATCTCCTGACTGACTGATATTGGAAGAGAAAGTGTTAACAAGGATGATTCCAACATTTTGGTCCAGGGAAACTGAAATAATCAAGTTAGCACAGCTTACTGCTGTTTCCTCCTCACCCTCCCTAATTTTCCATGTGTGTGTGTGTATGTGTGTCTTTTTTTGGACAAAGACTCACTGTGTTGCAATCCCCCTACTAGAGTCTCTGGAGTGGCAGAGACTACAGGTGCATGCCACCATCCTTGGCTCTTTTGTAGAGTCTCATTCTGCTGTCCACATCAGCCTTGAGCTCACGATCAACCAGCCTTGGCCTCTTACTGGAATCACACCACCACGCCCAACCCTCTTAGGTTGACCAGGAATCGAACGTGGACTGCCCATGTGGTCTCAGCCGGCCGAACACAGCATTTTAGCACTGCCTGATATCACAACTGGGTCTTATTGCTACTTTTTTTTTCTTTTGGAGAAGTTTTTGCTGTAGGGCGCATGCACTCACCAGAAAGAGATAAGCAGAGAGATAGAAAGTTAGAAATCACCCCCAAGGGAGGATGGCCACACGGCAATCTCTTCTCTTCCATTCTCCTCTCGGGATCTTGGGCATGCATCCACACGCACCCCGCGTGCCCAAGCCACTGGGCCTGGGACTCAAATTGCGGTTGACTATTTATTTGGGAATCCAGTGACATAGCCACCATACCAACTGCTGGTCCCTAGAGGTTTAATTTTTATGTAGCCAAGTATATCTTTTCATATACCTTTTAACATATGTTAAAAAAATTCTGTTCTAACAAGATTTTTCAAAGGCAGATGTAAATCTTGTTAAGTGTCTTATTCACACCACAATTGTCTAGTCATAAAATAATTCATTTTGTTTCCCTATTTTTTTTTTCCTTTGAAATTTCCAGAGCATGTATATGCTTGGTACAGAGAGAGCAAGACAAGCCCACAAAAAGGTGTGGTCACACCACAACCTTTTTCCCACCATTTTTCCATCCTGTTGGAATTTCAGACATATATGCCCATGCACCCAGCATGCTTTGCAAACGACCAGTGCTGGGACTTGAATTGCAGCCAGTCATATGGGATCTGGTTCCGATGCATAGCGCTTAAGTGCTGTGCTATGAGGCTGGCCTTTGGCTTCCTATTAAGAGGAATTTTACTTATCTCCAAACTCTAGTTTAAGGCACGGGCGCAATTCAAGCACATCTATCTCTTCTGCAGCCCATCCCTTCCACAGATGGATTACCTTCAATGCTGGCAGGCTGAAGCCATCTGTAAGGTTATGTGCTTCCTCTTCTGATATCTGCTCTTCACTCAGTCCAAGACCCAGCTCCTTAAAAGGCACCACACAGATGTAGTTGGTTACATTGTCACTCTCAGAGTTCAGGGGGTAGGTTAAATTAGGTTAAGGCAATCAACAAACCCTCTTCATTAAAACAAGAAGTTCAGTAAAACTGTCCTAAATTACATTTACTAATCCTTTATTTTGAACTTTTACATGAGGAGATTTACACCCCCCCCTTAAAAAAAAAAAAAGTCCCTTGTTCACATCACAACAATTTTTTCTATGATAATGAGAGAGACACAGACAAGCACCTCAGCTGGGTCTTATACCATGACTACTGTTATAGGTAGCAATAAGCCTATTCTACGTTTGTCATAGACTACTCTTGTCTGTCCCCTTCTTTACAATGTATGTTATGTCAATCAAAATTGCTTTGTTCCACTAGTTGTTTTTATAAGGAATTACACTCATATCTTTGATATTGAACCATATTTGCATTTCTGGCATATTCCTATTTGATCATATTATAATGATCTTTTGATTCATAACTTATAACTTATTTATTTACTTACTTATTTATTACTGCCCGAGGGATGTGTAATGACCAGAGGGGAGAGAGGGAGAGAGAGAAAGCACCGCTCAATAGGGTGTGGTCATGCCCCAATTCTTCCTCCTCTTCATCAGGATTTTGTGCACATACATGTGGCCTGGTATATCTTTCAAGTTGCTGGGTCCAAGACTTGAACCACAGTTGGCCACGTGGGCTCTGGCTCTCTTAACCACTGTATCACCCATAAATATTCTATTTAAATATTTTCTGTCTCTATTTGTGAGACTGGGCTATAGTTTCTATTCTTTGTTAATACATCATGTTTTGTTTGTTTGCTTGTTTGTTTGGAGAGATTTTTGCTATAGGGTGCATGCACTTGCCGGACAGACAGAAAGTGAGAAACCACCACCCCTGGGGGGATGGCCGCACTGTGATCTCTTCTTCTCCATTCTCCTCTTGGAGATGCTCATGCGCCTGGCCTGAGTTTTAAGCCTCCGAGTCTGGGATTCAAATCACAGTCAACTACATAGGAGTTCAGAGACAGCCATTATGTCAACTGCTGGTACCAAGGTTAAAGTATTTTCACAAATATGACATTGGGGAGTTTTTTTAAACCTTTTCTCTGGTCTGAAAAAAATCATTCTAATTATAGGAACCATCTTGACTTGGTAATTAAAATTTCTTTTGTTCATTAATTCTTGAATAGGTGACATATTCAACAAGATTCAAAATTCATGAGGTATTAAGGGGTACAGTGAAAACTGCTTCCCACAGTTTAGCCTTAGCTGTTTTAGCTCTCTTTTCCAAAGACAAAGGCTATTTGTAAGGTTATGTATATTTTTGAGTATACTTCAAGATATTTAATGCACATCTATATAAATGCAAATCTAAACACATGTACGTGTATCTTGTGATATGTATGTATAAACACACACATGCACAAAGACATACATATGTATTTATCTCCACATAAACACAGTCCCTTTTATGCACAAATGTAAGGAAATAAAAAACACTGTTCTGTGCACTTTGCTACCTTTTATCACTTCACATAAGTTGGAGATCATTCCATAGCAGAGTACCTGCTGGTCCCTAATCTCTTAAATTTTAAAGTTCTTCTCAGGTCAGTTTTAAAGATTTGTATTTTGATAAGAAATGAACCATTTCCCCCTACATTTTCTAAGGTGGTGTCACAGAGGTGCATATAGTGGGATCTTCAAAAAGTTTGTGAAAATGTGTACTATGAAAAAACTATAACATGTATGGATTTCATTTCTTTCCCACTGAAATAAACTTGTACTTTGTTTTTGCCTTTACTCTGATCAGGCATAAAAGGGTTTACATAACCTTACTGGTCATTTCAGAGAAATCACTGGTGGGTTCTTTTTCACTTTAATTCCATAAGGGTTCTCGAACAGAGTGTGATCATACCTGCCTCTGAATCTTACTTTACACTCCCACCTCCACCTTACCGGGCTCCTG